GAGAGTCTTTATTTGAGTGGTTGAGTTTATTTTTAAGTTTTGACAAAACAATGTAGGGAGGGGACCAGAGAGATGGCTCATCAGTGTGAGCACTTCTCTTCTTCCATGGGACCTGGGTTCAATTCCCAGCACTCCATGGCCCATTACAACCATCTGAAATTCCAGTTCCAGGGAATCTGATCTTCTCTGGCCTCTGGGGGCCCTGCATGCATGTGGCACACAGACTTACAGAGTCAAAACATACGCACACATTAAAAAAAAGTTAAAAAAATATTAATGATTTTGATTTTGTGGGGATGCCCAGACCTTGCCAGTGGGATTATGATGGTGTAACCTCGGTAGTATGATCACTATAATCTCTCAAGCAATCTATTCTGGGCTTTGGGAGGCTCAGATGCTGAGTCCCTGGGGACATCTGATCTTGTTACGATGCTTAGGAGTCAGTACCCCTGGCTTTCAGCTTGCGTTCAATTATGCTTTGTTTGTAACTCAACACAGGTGTTTCTAATTGTGCTAGACTGAAACACGCTTGCAATGGGTCTGTTCTGGGTCCCTGATGATCCAGTTCTGTTTGGAACATTTCTGAGTTCAGTCCATTTGGACTGAGTCCAGTTCATGATTGAGATGATGTCAGTATCATGCACGTGGGTTCACCAGCTTAGTCTTGACCTTGGAAATGCTATGGTTATTTTACAGGGTGTGGTGACATTTATGGGCCTTCTTGGACACCCACAAAGAGGTGGATTTCCATAGATTAAATGTCAAGTTTGCAACAGTCCTGGGTAATTGAATCCTGGAGCGCTGTCCACTTCAATTTTCAACTGGGCCATTGACTTGGGGCTTGGGTCTCATTAGATGCTAGCCAGCACAGGGCAGATTATTTTGTGTCAGAGGTCAGCCTGAAGCCCAGGAGAAGAGGGTGGGGGAAGATGACGGAGCAGTGAAACAAGACACCCAGAGGGATATCTCGAGTTTGTTCTTTCAACCCAAGCACATAAGTGACTAGTTGAATAAGTTATTGCAGACAGACAGTATGCTGGCTAGTTTTATGTCATTTGAGAGGAGAGAACCTCGATTGAGAAAATGCTCCATAAAATCCAGCTGTAGGTAGACCTTTAGCTCATTTTCTCATTGATGTCGGAGGGCCCATCCCACAGTGGGTGGTACCACCCCTGGGCTGGTGGTCCTAGGTGCTATGAAGAGGTTGAGCCAGCCATGGGAGGAAGCCAGTAAGCAGTACTCCTCCATGGTCTCTGCCTTAGCTTCTGCCCCCAGGTTCCTGCCCTGTTTGAGTTCCTGCCTTTGCTTTCCTCAGTGGACTGTGACCCAGGATATGTGAACCAAATAAACCCTTTCCTCCCCAAGCTGCCTTTGGTCATGGTGTTTAGCACAGCAACAGATACCCTAAGGCAGACAACTCCTACCACGGCAAGGGGTTCTCAGATGTTAGCTAAAGATATCTAAGCAGGTGCTGGGAAGATGCCAAGCAGACATGAGGACCTGAGTTCAAATCTACCACCATGTAAATTCCAGGCACTGTGGTACATCTTAAACCAAGAACTGGGAGGCAAAGGTGCTAACAGAGACAAGAGGATTCCTGAAGCCTTCTAGACACCTTGCCTAGTCAAATTTGTGAGTTCTAGTTTTGGTGAGACACCTTGTTTCAAAAAGTAAAATAAACAGCCATCGAGGGAAAGACGTGCTGTCCAGTTCTGGTCTCTGCATGCATACACACATATGCAGAGAGACAAATGCAACACACATACTCTACACAGCACAAACACATGAAGCCATCTAGATGTTGACAGGGACAAATGGGGCAGAAGAGAATGTACTAAGCTTGTTTCCTTCAGGGACTGGGGACAGAGCTAAGACCTCAAATATGCTAGGCAAGTGAATCACCATGGAGCTATCTCTTTTCACTTTTGATTTTGAGACAGAGTCTCCTCAATTGCCTAATCTGGCTTTGAACTTGTGACCTTCCTGCTTCAGCCTCCTGGGCAGCTGGGATGACTGAGCCTGACCATAAGACTCAGCTCAGTTGTGGCCTGAGTCTCTTGAAACTTTCTCCTCACAAGGACCTGGATGAGTGAGAGGAACCACACCCACATTCCTCCTCATGGGTGCAAACTGGATGTGAGCACTGGGGAAGCCCCATGAGGGTCACCGTGGAGCCCCCGAGTTTTCCTGAAGTCTCATTCATTCATATTTATCACCACAACCTGCTGACCCAGCCACTGTCCAGCGGGTGCCATGTTCAAGAGCCTGCAATGGATGCTCTGGTCTCCTGTTAGCTGGAAGTTGACACAGATCCAGGAACCCTTCCCCTTTAAGAGGGAGTTCATCTAACTCAGGCTGACCTCAAACTCACTACATAGCCTTGAAATCCTGTTCTCTTCCTCCTGCCTCCAGAGTGCTGGTATTGCAGGCTTGAGGTAGTACACCTGGTTTCTACACCTGCTAGGGACAGAATCTGGGACTTTGAGCATGATGGGCAAGTGCTCTGCCAATGGGGCCCCAGCCCCAGCCCAGCCCCAGTCCCGCCCCCAGCCCCAGCCCCGCCTACAGCTTCTGCCTGTCCCAGTCCTGAGCATGGGCCTGCACTCCTCCTCCCCAAAACGGCTCCCGTGGCTGATAGGCACCGACACCAGGGTACAGAATTCCCTCAGTACCCGGGCATCCCCTACAATCAGGGCTAGGAGCCCCAGCAGACAAGCTCCTGCCACGTGGGGACTCTCTTCTTTCTGAGAGCCTCCAGGTGGAGATCTGAGCCAGTAGCCATCTGACCACCATGGTGCTGACTCCCCAGAGCCAGCCTCTTGGAGCCTGAGCCAGGCCCAAGGTATGGCATTCCGTGAGGTTCCCAGCCTGGAAGGGAGGCTTCTCAAGAGCACAGCCCTTTGGGGTGGTAACCCCACCTCTGAGTATGGTGGCCATGGTCATCATGCACCATGTGTGCCGTCAGAGCCACAGCTGGGCATGTCATGGCTTTTTAGACCTGAGAAAAGACACTAGGGATTGAACTGTGATCCAACCCCCGCCCCCCCAAAAATTGTCAAAGCCCAACCTCCTGTTCCTTTAAACACACACTTAACTAGATAAAGTCACTGCAAATGTAGCTAGTTAAACTAAGATGAGCTCATCTTAGTTCTTTGAGCCTCCCAAAGAGAAGAGAACACACACACACACACACACACACACACACACACACACACACACACACACACACACACACACACGCACTACATTACAGCCAGGTGACCCCGGAAACTTGAGAACATCTACAAGCCAAGGATGGCCAGAACTCTCCAGCAACCCGCCCAGATGTGGTTAGGAAGGGACATGCCACTTCAACCTTGACTCTATATCTGTCCCCTCCCCAGTGACACAACTCCAAATTCGGGCTGCTATCCTGTGCTTCTGTGGTGTAGACACCTGGGCCAGGAAGGCAACTGGCACACAGCTTCCCTCCTCTGCCCTCCTGGTCCACAGTTGTCTGTCTCCTTACCCAGCTGTCTCTCGGGGAAGCAGTCCCATGGTCTGTTTGGCTCTGGAGATGTCCCAGCTGCCCAGACATTCAGCCTGATGTAGACAGAACACTCGGGTGCTTGACCAAGCCTGACTCTATCCCATCCCAACGTCTTGGCATCCCAGTCAGTTCTGCAGGCAAGGCGTCTGCCCTTGAAAAAGCACATATCCCTTCTCATCATCAGATGTCCCCACAGTGAAGGAGAGTAGCCAGAAGAGCACAAGTTTGTCCCCTCTCCCCTTCAGCAGATTGAGGATTGTGTTTCCATGGATTTCCATACATGAGACAGTGAACACCTTGCTTGGGGATGACCCAGGACAGGTGGCATTTGTTCTAATTCTTAATCAAAAAATGCATCCGGGGAGTGGCCTTCTTGTTGCCCATGTGCCTACAGCAGTTAAGCAAGCAAAACTAGACGGGATTGCAGCTGGACTGGGACTGGGCTGGGGCTGGGGCTGGGCTGGGCATGGGGCTAGGGCTGGGGCTGGGGCTGGGGCTGGGGCTGAGGTATGTCCACGAGATGAGAACAGCCGGGGATCTGGGTAGGGAGGCCAGGCCATTGAGGGAGTCAGGTGTGCTCAGCAAACTCAGGAAGGGACTTCTGGAAAACCACTTGGTGACCTTGGCCTTGGCCTTGTTTCTGCCTTTGATGCTGTAGACTTCCTGAAGACACCCCAACAGGGATCCTTCTGAAGAGAAGCTGGTATCAGGCACAGGAGCCCTGGGCCAGTAATTTGCCATCAGCAGGAGGGCGGGAGAGGCCATGGAAGCTGACACAGGTTTTTACAGGAGATCCCTGGGGACAGAGCAGAGGGTCGTGTGCAGGCTGGGTAAGCACTCTGTAGTGGACCTACCTCTAGACTTTTTTTTTTATGTTCAGGATGGGTCTTCCTGGGTTTCCCAGGCTACCCAGATCATTCTGCTGCTTAGGTAATCTTTGAATCTGTGTGTGATGACAGGTCTGTCCCACTGTGACTGAAGCTGACAAGTGACTTAAAGTATGTCCTTTTTTGTGCAACTCAGGCTAGCTTCACACCTGACATGCCAAGGGTGCCCTTGGACTTGTTTCTTCCGCCTCCATCTCCCAAGTGCTGTGATGGGTACCATGTCCAGTTTCTGAGGTGTTGGAGCTTCGTGCATGTACATAAGCCATCTACCAAATGAGCTACATCCCCAGCCACAGACAAGTGTGTTTAAAAGTTAAGTCATTGTTTTCCAAAGCCGTAGTTAGGAATTCCCACAGTATCAACAAACATACAAGCAAGCAAGCAAGCAAGCAAGCAAGCAAGCAAGCAAGCAAGCAAGCAAGCAAGCAAACCAGAGTATCTATTTTACGTTACTTTAGCCAAGAGTCTTGGAAGCACTATCAACTATTGTTCTTCAATACATCCATTGAGATGTGGGGAACTGTCCTCAGGGAAGCTCCCCTAGGCACAAGGCACATCCCGCCTGAGGCAGAGGCTGATGGCGT